ATAGGTCTTATGGATCCCGGCCCTAGTTTTTGGGAGGGTAGCCTTGGCGTTTGTTTATATCTATCTCCATCGCCAAGCTTTCAAGATTTAAGGCCATGAGCCCCATCACAACACATCGTCTTCCCAAGTTCCTGTCCATGTGGTGAGGCCGTGCAGGGCATTGAGCGCAAGGTCGAGGCTGGTGCCTGTGAGCCAAGTGTTGCCAGTGCTTTTCTTCCCTAAAGATATCTGAGTTCAGAGGTCCTGCGATGATTTTGCTTGGGAAGAAGTTCCGCGTTTTGATCTGGCGGCAAGTCTCACTTGCGCCCCTCCCGCACCGAACCCGAGAGCCGCGCAAGCTCACGGAAGGCGCCAGCGCTGCGGCGTTTGGAGGAGCGCATGCTGGAGATGGACAGCTGGGTGGAGACCAAGGCTACGTGAAGCACCGGGTGTGGCTCGATTTGCTCGGGCCAACCGCGCACTTTTCCGTTCAACCATTCTGTTCAACCAGCGGTCTTCGAAACAAATCAGCTGCTTCTCCTGGACTGCTCATGGTAACGATTCTTCCGGGCGAGGGCGGTTTGATGCCATCTCTTTGGGTCAAACATTGGTCAATCACCCACCGTATGACCCAGGCATCTACAACGTGGAAAGAGTCCCCTTTTTCTGCATGTCCAACATGCCCAGGGTTGACCTGAAACTTCCAACAGTGGCGGCCTCATTGGACAGCACCAACAACCGGTAGTAGCTGTTCCAAGACATGCCCAGTAACTCCTGACACACTCAGGGTCACTTACAAGGTAGGACAGGCTGAGTCCCCATGGCCAAAAACCGACAGAACGACACAATCGCCACTAGCAGCACGCGCCCAAACAGCGCCTCATCGAACCTTGTTCCCCTGCAGTAAACCCATTGCCTTCGGATTCATGTATGTGTTTATCGTAGTTGCTTCGAACATCCCATTGCGGTTGATTCCCCAAGTTGTGCAAGTGAGAAAACGTACCAACCGAAAGATGCGCACGTAGACAATGAAACAGACCCAACTTCACAGGAGAGGCAGCGCATCAGTTTCAATGCGGCTCCAAAACATGCGTGGCAATGCCGGGGCATTCCACCTTACTCAGCCTTACTCCACTCAATGATGTATACCATACACTTTAAACGAAGTCCCTTAAGCTGGTTCCTCAGAATGGACAGACGAAACGTCTTGACTAAAAGTTAGACTATAGTTTCCATCAAAAGGGTCAGATTGGACGTGTTGACCTGCAGTTTGGAGGTTAGACGAGTTTGAATCATATTGCGTGGTGGTCGTCATGTTCATATGCAATGCTTCTGGTGATGTACCCTTTCCTGGTGACCCCTTGCAATTGTCAGATATAATTGGAGCCCCCCTCTAACCCAAGCCACCAACAAAGTGAGCGGAACTTGGGGGCGCCTTAAGGTCGAACCCGCTCCGCTTGCCTTAGCTTTAGCTCAGGGTGGAAGGCCTTGTTGGACAACGTGACTTCCCCCTAAACGCGCTTCTGGTTGCTCTTGACTTTCCTCGCGAGTCTCTGCTTTGTTGCTCTTGGTGGGTCAAGTGATGACCTCAGATGGGTCCAAGGCAATGCTCGTTTTCAGACTGGTACCCTCCCAGGAATTCACACAGAATCTGTCCGAGCGCAGACGGAGTCCATGTTCGAGTCGTCTTGCATAAGGTCTCTTGTTGTTGTTGTGTTTTTTTTTTTTCTTTTTTTTTTTTTTTTTTTTTTTTTTTCGGGTGGAAGGTTACTCTTTGGCATTTGTTTGGGCGGCACCTTAGCCACGCGCAGGCTGAGAGCTCGGAGCTGCGCAAAGCAGAGGAGAGTCTGCAGGTGCGCTGGGTGCGCTGGGAGGGATGGGCAGCGCCATGTCGGAAACAATTCTCCAAACCCCTGGGTTCAGAAGCCAAACCCAATGAGGTCCGAGTTGGCCCGTGATTTTGCAGTCAGTGGGCCTCGGGCTGGGAAACATGAGTCTGGGACCGGCTCGGGTGAAACCCCAGGATTGATTCTGTGTGCGTCCGGGTCCTCACGTGAGCGGCAAAAAAAAACCTCCGTAGATCAATTTAGATGAAACTGGAAATTACTCTTGCAGTCGTAAGCGTTTTTGCGAGATTCGTAAGCGATCGGAAGGTCCTGCGTAAGCTGCATGCATGAGTCACTCGTCGAAAACTTTGCGTAAGCTCTGTTTGTCAGACCCGTTTTTCGTTCAGATTGTTTGGTAGAAGTTGCTTTTGGTCCGCGTAATGCTTTTAGGCGTGAAAATGGGATCAGATTGCTGGAATGGGTTCTTTCGAGCAACAAGGAAAGGGATTCTTTCAGTGAACAACTTTTTCAGGCTCAGACAACTGCTGTTTGACCGTTGGGTTGCTTGTGAAAACCTTTTGCAATGTTCCACACACAGCGCGTTGGCCAGCTTGAACAAAAAAGGCTCGCGTTTGGAAAACAACTTTTCGAGCCCCGAAAGTTTTGTTTTGGCACCTCACCTTTTTCGTTGAGCGGGCTTGGAAAACAACATGTTGAGCCCCGGGCTTGTTTTGCTGCGGCTTTGCCTTTTCACCTTTGGGCCTCGGGCTTGGGAAGCACCAAAAAACTTGTCGAGGCCAGAAAAGTTTTTTTTGTTGCGAGGCACCTTTTGCCACCTGCAGGCACTTTTCAGGGCCCCGAAGCCCAAAAAAGCTCGCGGACTGGACAAACACTTTTCGAGCCGAAAGTCGTTTTTGGGGCCTTTCCATGCGAGTTGTTGCTCTGTCGTGCTGAGAAAAAAAATCGGGCCCCGAAAGTTTTTCCGTTTGGCCCTCCAGCATCATTGCTGAGCCTGTGCAGCATTCCATCTGCAAGCTGTTGTTCTGCCGTGCTGGCACCTCTTGCTCGCAGCGCCCGTGCGCTGTCTGCAAAGTTTTTTTGAGCTGTTGCCCCTTTCTGGCCGTGAAAGCTTCAACACCAGCAACGTCAGGATCACATGGTGCAGTGGTATCACACCCGCTTCGCATGCGGCGGCCCGGGTTCAATCCCGAGTGTGCCCACGTCAATGCTGCTCTGTCATGCTGACGCCTTGCTCGTGGTGGATCCTCGCAGAAAACAACTTTTCGGGTCCCGAACCTTTCCAGGCGAGTTGTTGCTCTGTTCTGCTGGCGCCTGTTGCTCAGATGTTCTTAAGACTTAGAAGTAGAATTTGTTTGTCGATGCCAGGCAAATTAGTCTGCGATGCGGCATGCCTTTGAGCATTGTGAATTGCGCAGTGTCCCCATGGCACAAGGTCTGGCTTGGTTTGAAGATGCTTTGTGGATCAGGCCACGCAGCAGCTGACAGGAACTGGGAGGGGGTGCGGGCAGGAGGGGGGCCTCAAGAACGCCGACTGCTCCTGCAAACTCCACTGCTCACTTGTCGTAAGCTATGCGTAAGCTCCATCTTCGAAAAATAGCAAGCGTAAGCGACCTTTCGGTTGGCGGAAGCTTTCCGCAAGCTATTGCGGAAGCTGGAGTAATTTCCTTTACGGGTAACAGGGTTTTTTTCACTGCTCACGTGTGTTTCCTTGGTTTGAGTGGTCCAGAATCTGCCCTTGTGCTCTGTCCTGGGGTAGTTCCAACCCTTCCTTCTGCAGCTGAAGGAAGAGAGGTGTTTTTTGTACATGGACCCTAAGTTGCCCTTTCTTTAATTGGAATCTAGAATGAAAAGGTGGAAGCAGTCAGGGTGCTGGACGAATCGGACTAGCATGTTTTGGTGCTAAAGACGGAAGACATCACGCACACAATCTAGTACGAGGAGAGACTTAACGTTGGTTTGTGTTCAAATTCTCAAGGAACAACAGCCGAGCCAACACCAGACGCGGCGGCAGTATGATAACGGCAAAAGGTTGGCCTCGCATACCCTCCTTCAAAGAACCGCCCTTTTGCCCCTGCCTCCCAAACCACCACTGGCCCAAGGCCAGGCCGGCCCAGCGATCTGTCCCCTTCAGGCGCTGCAGGCGTCGGTGGCCAAGGCCGCCGCGGCCGCAGACCTGGAGCCGATGCGGCGCCAGATCAAGGACGCCATCGACCGGTCTCGGATTCCGATACGCGGAGGGCATCTTATTGGGAGCACTTCAAAGTTGTCCGAGTTTTCGGCGTCAGAGTTTCGGAAACTGGGACCTTTTTGGGAGGCTTCAAAACGCCAACATAGATGACCAGGCTTGTGGGATCAAAGGGTTTCTCCCCACTTCTGTGATACAAGGGAACCGAACCCTTTATATGAACAAAATAGTCTTTGGGAGTCCCTGTCTGTTGTATCACAGAAGCGGTGATTCCCCACAGCCCTGTAGATGACCAATAGGGCCCTTTTGGCCAGGCCGGGCGAGGGTTTGCCTATGATTGGGGAACAACTACCTTTTGGTAGATGGCACTCAGGAGGGAACACATGCAGCTCCTTGTCCTTTAGAGGCATGCGCCTTGCTCTTGGCCATTGCAGCTAGCCTTCTTAGTCATGACTAATCCTCCAGCTAAAGGGAATATTGCTTGCCCGCAGAAGTGGCAAGCCCCCCAACTCTGCGTATTTCAGACATTTGTTTGGTTGCGCATGAAGTTGGGCCTCCCTTCCCCTTTGGGCGCAGTTTGTTGCCTTCTTAAAAAGAGCTTCTCCCCGAGGGATTCCCCGTTGCCTGCTAGTTGTTTTTCTCGGTTTTTCCAAGGTTGGCCCAACAACGGTCAATGGATTGAATCTTGCAATGTCACCTTTATGAGTAGGTGGCATGATGCGTTTGCTTGACAGGGCCCGCGCACAGCGGCTTGCATGGACTGATTTGCGCCTGGCAGCTGCAGTTCGCCCGGCAACAGCCAGCCTCACCGGGCGCTTTGCATTGGCAGTAGCCAGCAGCCAGCCAGCTTTGGGATCAAGCCGTGGAGCCATCCTTGTAGATGAACTGCGCTGTCATGTTTGTTTCAGCCTGGTGCTATGTGAATGTTTGGCGGCAAACAGAAAGTTACTTGGCACTATGCCGGGGATTAAAAAGTTTACCAGGCCTGGGTTGGGCTCAACGGCCCCGTGCCGTGCTTGCGACTTCCGAGCCATGGCTGAGATGGCTGCGGGGTCAGGGGCCGAGGCGGTCAGAATCTTGAAGACGCTGACTGCGGACGAGGCGCCGAGTGCATTAATCCAGAGGTGCTCTCAGCAATGGATCGGGTGACCGCCCTCTCCAAAGGAAATTTGTTTTCTTGGTCGGCCTGTCTATTTTGTTAGTTCATTGATGAATGCTGTTCCCACTCATGCCTGCCTTGGATTCTTGCAGGCGGCCTCTTTGACATTGGGAGCTGGTGTGCCCAACTATTGGTTGTGCCAATTTGGGTTATGGGCCACTTTCTGTGATACCAAGGGATGCCCCTGCAAAGCCTTACGTCCTTACAGAAAGAGTTGGTTTCCACAATGTCCCAATTCGTTTGCCACGTGGCTCGTGTTGACCTTGACCGACGCTTCCCGCTGCTCCCGGTGGTTTGGCCATTCATGAGGCGTCTGGCGAGGACTGGAGCCCCTACTTCAAGAAGCAGCGCCTGGACGAGGTGCTCACAGACGCTTATCTATGTGGTGTGCGTTGTTTGATTGGTTGAAATCAGGCAAAGCTACCAATTGGAAGAACGCCTTTTTGCCTGCGTGCGGCCACGCACCTCAAGTTGAAATGCGGCCTGAGAATGGGCAAGAATTGTCGCAAGTGCAAGACCTCCACGTAAAGACAGGCAAACAAAGAAAGCACAACTGAGAACTACCCACGTATTCAGGTCAATTGATCTTGGGTTCATGCAGGTAGGCGAGATTAAGCCTTGGGGTGCCATGCCCCATGGCTAGTGGCGGCGTTGCCGGAGCTTACCTGGGTAGGTTGCTGCTGGTGCTTGGATGGTGCTGGTCATGCAGTTTAGGAGCCCCCGCTTTCGCGGAAACCCCGCTCGCTTGATCCCAAGCATGCTCGCTATGTCCGCATTCTGCCATTGGCACAAGGCTGAGAATGCTGGGGGTGCTGGCAAGCCCTGATGGTGAAGTTGGCGAGGATGTATGGGATGTTGGTGGGGGTGCTGTCACTGTCAGGGGGGATTTTGACGGTATTTGCGGTGTTTGCTGAGGCCGGGGATGTCGGGGATGTTTAGATGTGTTGGATGGCCTGTACCCGGATGATGCAGCTGAGGAGGAGCTTGTGGCGCAACAAGACATGTCAGCGGATACCCTATATACCCTACGGGCCTACGAGTAAGGTTGCCCCCGCCCTTCAAACTCGAAGACACACAGCGCAGCTGTATTGCCGAGCCCTGGGGTTTGTGCCAGAGGTTTTGGTTCAGCAACACTTCTGTTTTTCCTAGAGGAGACAGACATGAAAGACACGCAAAAGGGCCTACACCTGGTGGAATCCCACGGCGTCTATCCGAGGGCCTGGTGGCAGGCCTGCAAGCAGCGGAGCCCGCTGATCCCATCACCTGGATGATCCAGCACCTGGCACCTTGGGTAGAGATTTGGGTTGTGGGGTGGTTTGGGGGAGAGGGATTTCGCTCTTGAGGTGGGTGTGTTAGATAGCCTCTCTATATTTCGCCGGCTCGGCGATCATCGACAGGGTCAATGCATAGGCCACCCAAAAGCCTACTGTTTGCATGCATAGCGCCATCTGATTCAGCGGGAAGTTGCTCCGGAAACCAACGCCAGCAAGCGCAACACAGATGTCAAGGTGTCATTGTTTTTTTCTACGTAGGCTGCCCAGGATTGAAGTAGAGCCAATTGCACCACTGGCTTCGTTGCTGCTGCTTTGGAGTTACTTGCCGCCCAAATGTGTAAGAAAAAACATGCATTGAAGGATGTTTGTTTTGAAGTAGTTGACACTTTTGGAACATTCAAGATGGTCCATTCAGGCCCGCTCCGCTTTCAGCACGGCTTCCCGAGGCTTGCCAGCCAAAAAGAGCAGCCTAAGGGAAGCAACAGTTGCGAAGATACATGACGTGTACATGGGGGATGGCCGGTGGCCGATAACAGGGCCTGACTGAATCGTCGTGAAGTGTTTGTTTGTTTTTTGAAAAACCAACAGAGCAGCTACCGTTGCGATGTGTCAATTTGCTCTTTCATTCCGTTTGAATCCTTTGGTTGTTCGTGCTGCAAGTCAGATGTGGGCCGCCACGAAGGTGTTGGAAGCCACTGCTTGCTGCAGATTGATTTCCCCTGTTGGATTTGGGGTAGTTTCAGATGGGGCTATAGTTGGTTTCATGGAAAGGCGGCAGGGCCCCCTAAGTTTCTCGCGCAGCAAGGTGGCGTGCAAAGAGAAAGCGAAAGAGGAGCTCGTTGAGAAGAAGCCGGTGAAGAAGTGTACAAAGGGCAAGCGCGCCCGGGTGAACATCTCGGCAGTCCTGAGGCCGGGGATGCCAGGGACAGGAGGTGTGACAACTGCGCTCGCACCAACTATATGAACACCTTGCAAAAACAAATCCACGGTGAAGCTCCCATTCCTCAATTCAGGTTGGTGAATTCGCAGGTTAGGTCGACTTTAATGTTTCCCCCCCCCCCTCAACAGTGAAACCTGTCACCGGGACTCTCTTTAGGGGAAAAGCTGCGGGTCGGGGTTCGACTTCGACTCATCCGTACACATGTCATTCAGCATTGGCAAGTGTAAATCTAACATTGCCAAGACGTTCTCTCAGATGCCCGTGCTTAATTTAGTATTGCCAAGCCTTACTTTGTTATTCCCAATTCTATATTTAGTGTTGCCAAGACCAATTCTGAGATTCCTAACCACCAAAAACGCTGGATATTAAAGCGGCCTCCAACACAGTCAGATGAAAGAGAATCAGGGCCACCCCCACTGTGTGACTGTTTGACGATGCTGTGGGGGCCACTTGCAACATTGATTTCCTAGATCTAAGGCCTTTACCCTTTGAGCTGGGAAGAGCTCGGTTCGGTGCACCACCCTTTGATTTGGGCATAGACCCCCGCCCCCCCCCCCCCCCCCTCAAAAGAAAAAGAAAAAAACAACAGAAAAAGAACAAGAAATGAAAGCGACCCCAAAAGCAGTCACATAAAAGCGAACTGTGCCTCTCTTTTGTGGACCACTTCAAAAAAGGACATCCTAGGACAACAAGTGCTTGCTTTGGTTTTCTCAGGGGTTGGAGCAGACACTTGTTGGCATGCAGAACTTCTTTTCTGTCGCGACTTTTGAGGAGGGGCTGCCGCGCGATCTTGGACGTGGTGTGCCAGGATGGTCCATTCGAGGCCATCGAAGATGCGTCCTCCCCCTCTGCGGCTCGGTGGAGGGCTGGTTTCGGCATGCGCTCCACGGCGCATTGGGGCCAATGCCTGACATCCAGCGTAGTCTTTCGATAAATTTTGAATGCCGACATATTCAATCCTCAGTTTGCGGGCTATCGTTGGCCAAGGCATGTTTGTTGCATGTTTGTGGATGTTTGGGCCTGGAAATTGCTGTTCCTTGGGAAGATTTGGGAAGTCGTCAGGTTGCAGCCAGAATCCACCGTGGATATCTCAGAGAAGCAGCTGTGCAATTGCCCATTTGTTTTAGATTATGCTTTGTTTGCCCAAGCTGGCTGGAACAACTGAGCAAGATCATGAGCGGCAAACAAACAGTCTTCAGTGGCACACTACCCACATGGAACGTGCAATTGGCGTGGCCATGTTTGATGGCCAAAGGCGGCAAAACAACACCCTGGAGGATCCTGGATCCTCCCTGCACCCCCGCCTGTCTTTTTCCACATCCACGGGCATGCGTGTCATGGGCTTAAAAGATGCAAACTGTGCTTGTGAAGAGGCGACGCTTGGAATGATGTTCTGGCACATGTTGCCGCTGGCATCGTGATCTGACATTGTTAGGCTGCGATCTCTATGTAAAAAAGGGCTTCGGGGCATTGGTTTAGGTTCCGTTTTATTTGGAGATTGCTGCCAGGGCGTAGGGCTTCGGGTTTTTGAGTTTTCAAGGGGCAGAGCGCGTTGGGACGAGCAGCGCAGCGTTCCCGTGAATGACGGATGCGGTTTCAGAAGCCGGATGGGTTGAAACCTGGCCTTTGCTTGGATGGGGCGACCTGGGCCGTGTGGAGCTGGCAGGCACTGATCTACTTCGTTTGGAGCGGCCAGGGCTTGTTGCAACGGCTCAACCACCCCTCCGCCGCCGAAAAGGTCCCCAGGCCCGGGACTTGCGCGATGCGCGAGACGAGTTACGCCTGGAGACTTCTTGTTCCGGATCAAGACATGTGGGTCAAGCTTCAGCTCGGATTCATCCAAGGAGCATCTCTAAGGGTGAACTCTTCCCCGGCATTCCAGGGGGCAGTGCCATGTTTGCTACCACTGCAAAATTGGTGTTGTTGGAGCAAAGTTTCTTGCTTGTATTGCCAACTTGTTCGCTTCAGTTTGTTGCGGCAGAACTTGCAGAATCATATGCATCATGCTGGCCACGGCCGGACCGCGCAAGCAGTTGACGCCCTGATTTGTCTCCAAGCAGCCTGCACATGAGAGGGGCGCCTTGATAGGGCCCTGCGGAGCCGCCCTGTCCGTGAATTGTTCCAGGCAAACCCGTCTCGTTCGAACATCTTGATTGCCTGTTTTCTTGGGTGGGTGATATTCCAAGCAATGAGGCTCCAATCATCAATCATGACTGAACGGGGAGTGGCCGATTGCCTGGCACCAAGTGATGTGTCATTTGTTGTAGTCAACGAGTTCTTGGGGTTTGCCTTGTTCAAACAGGGATGAACTGTGCCTATCTCAGATTCACGGATGAAGGGCAAGAGAGGCACCCAGAAGAGCCTTCCGAGAGGACTGACCGTGGTGTTTGGACACGAGATTTGGCAACTGTTGTTTGAGGGTTCAAGGCTTAGCATTGAACTTAGCATTGAATGAGTACTGTAACATACTGTAACATACTGTAACATACTGTAACTTTCAAAGTGGCCACGTTCTTCCGCTGGAAGCTTTGTTACATTTGTTGCGGGTCGGCTAAATATATGGACCGAATCTATGTCCTTCTTAGTTGGCGGGTGTCCGCTAGGGGGGATTCAACTATGTTCGCTCGCCAGGCTGCCGAGCCACGCTTGGGTGAACCGCTTGCCAGGCAGGGGAGATGGAGCGAAAACAATAGGCAAAAGCAGAGGTTGCACCTTTGCCCTTCGCGTGTTAAATTATGTGTCTTGCATTTGGGCGGGCTGCAAATGCGAACAAAACATGCATTTTGCCCACCGTATACCGATGGTTGAGGTGCCCCAAGTGTGTTTGCTGCTGGCTTGCTTGGGAAGCTCTGCACTTGAATTGTTCTGCCTGGCTGAAATCGTTTCATTGGTTGGGCATCAACTCATAATGTTTGCTATCACAATATGGAGCAATGTGAGCCGACAGGCTTCCCGAGTCAAGATATTTCAAGGCCAGTCCCAGGAGAATCGAGTTGGACAGTCTTCCTGATGTCTTGACGTTTGCCATTTCTCGGCACATATGCGTCTACCCTTGCGGATGGTCAGAGCTAGCTTTCTCGTTCAATCCATATTTGAAGCACTCCCTTCAATAGCAGCCTTCCCGCAGGAACAAAGGGTGTCACTCATGATAAGGAAGACTTTTGTTCAGCGTCCCTCATTTCCGATTGGTGGACGGTTCTGTCTTTTTGTGGAACTGGCAGATGTTTTTTGCAACACTCCAGCATGGGGCCATTTGGCCAGGGGGCACGTTTTGACACAACCCACTGTATCGAAGCCGCTCCCGCAAGATTCGAGGGGCCCCCAATTTTGGGGAACCACCCCGAAAGGGCTCAGTGGACGGGCAGGTATTGGCTGCATCTGCGACAAAGTGAACATGGCCTTGTCCCTGCGTTTGCTGCAGTCACTGGGCTTGCAAAGTACAGACACCAGTTGGTTTGGACTCTGAACTCGGCGCAGACCGTGTAATACACACGTTTGGACCTGTCGAGGCTCCGAGTCTATTCTGAAGCAATATGGACGGTCACCTCGCAAGCAGGAGAATACTCTTCTAAACAGGTGCTACGGTTTTTGTTGTTCAACACTTTATTCCCCCCATTCCTCCGTGCACCGTCCGAGGAAGATGTGGCCGGAGAAGTTTCGGTTCTGGCCGAAGAGTTGGCTCCTGCCGGCGGAGGCGGATCAGCTGTGCACCTACCTGGACAAGCACAAGGCGGGTGCCGGGGACGGGTGGTGCAGGCCTGAAAGGGGGAGTCAAGGTGAAAGGAGGGAGAGTGGGGTAGAATGTTGTTGGGCGTCAAGTTCGAATCTTAGTGGCACACAAGCGGAGGAGGTGGAACCATGGGTGACCCGTTTTCACGCCCCCATTGCTTTCACAGTTTTGGAACTGGCTGCCATGTTTCGGAGATCTTGCTACTGACTTTGACGTTGGGGAAGAAGCTGGCGTGTTTTTGCGCGTTGGCGCGTCAAAATCGAGAGGTATTCTGCTGGTGGTTGCAATTGGCCTCTTGTTGCAGGAGCTTGTTTCTCCAAAAACGATTTCCGCGATCACAACTCGCTCTTTGTTTTTGCACTATTGCTTGTTTTTTTGAGGTAGTTACCCTTTTGGGGTTGGTTTAAACCGAAACCAAAGGGACCCATCTTGGTTCCGCATGCTGAGACCAACCCAATAGCAAACCTTGGCGCATTGCCTCTCGCCGCAGCGCAGTCAGAGACGGTGATCGTGAAGCCGGAGGGCGGCTCCCAGGGCGATGGCATCTTCTTGGTGCAGCAGCTTGGCTCGAGCACAGCTCGTAGAATCCCCTTGTCCCGGGCCCCCTGAAACTCCCCCCCCATGTTTAAATTAAGTGGTTAGTGAGCCTGATCAAGGGCATTTCCTGGGGGTGGTTTGGGTCCCCATTCTCTCTGGAAGGCTGATGAGTCTATTCTCAAGGGCCCATGTGCTGTCACCTTGCCCCCCCCGCCAACACGGCCCTAAAAGGCTCAGATCTGGGTGCATTGTATATGGGGCACAAGGAGCTTGAACTGTCGCACATGCGTTGTTGACGCTTCTGATCTCCGACGTTAGCTGGCATTTTGATCATGCTGACACGTTGGCAGATGCGGGAGAGTCGGGGAGAGTTGATTATTAGGGGAGGACTAGGCTTGAACATGCAGCCGTCCGGACAGAGTGGTCGAAACACGGGTTGCCCTTCAACAGTGCGCTTGCGCACGCGCACACACACACACACATAACACGCAAGAGTACGCGTGCACATATGTGTTTTTCAATATGATGCAACAAACTACTTGTATATCAACATGATTCATCCTTGTAGCTCTATCCTCCTTTCCCGCCACAATGACTATCTTATTGTGGATAGCATCGATTTTTTTTCTCCGAGAAGCGAGGGATCAACTCAGGAACGCCGCAGACCTCCGGCTGAAGCTCTTCGCAAAGCCCCACTTCGGTGCCGGCTTCGGGGCGTTGGCGCAACGCCACTTGACTTGGCAGAAGCTCAACGCGTCCAGCGGGTTTCTTGCAAAACGAGGCAAGGGGACCTCAGAACCTCTTGCCCCGGCCATCGGAAAAGGATATCTCCCCTCTGATTTCAACAGGTTCCTTTCTTCGGCAAACGCATATGCCAGGAAATTAGCCGAGGCTATTTGCCAGCCCCGCTGCTGCTGGATGGCCTCAAGTTTGACTTGCGGCTCTACGTTGTGGTCACCAGTGTCTAGGACTTGAAGTCGTTCGATCCCCCTTGGCAGACGTGGTCGACTTTTTTGGGGGGGTTGCGTTGCCTTTTCATGAAACCTGACTGTCCCTTTCCTTTCAGGTAACCGCTACTTTTCGGACGGAGGTACTCAGAACTATCTCATACCTATGACAAACCATTTCACCAGGCTTTCCAAGTATGGAACTCAATCTACGCCGGATGTGCTGAAGAGAAGACCCGGGTTTGGTTATCTGAGGTGGCAAAAGGGGGACCCTGCCCTCTCTGTGATGTCCTCCGGTTCTCAAGTCACGCATGAGGTTTGGACCCACTCGAAGCCTACCTGTGCGAGGCGGGCTGCAAAATCGTGTGAGGTTGGGAGTGGGCAGTGGTTGGGGGGCAGTCAGGAAATCAAAGTGTGTGAAACATCTTCCTGTCCCTCCCCACTCCTCGTTTGAATCCGACATCTCCAAACAACCAACCTAAACCCTCGATTGTGCTACCAGCTGCTACCTCTCTTTCATCATAAGCTTCACTTTTGTAGGGACCAGACTCTTTTCAGTTGCTTGAAAAGCGCAAGGCAGCGCCAGCGCGCCACTGGCAGGAGGGCCTGGCTCGCTTTTGCACCGCCAAGTACGAGGAGCCCACTGCGGCCAATGCCAACGAGGCACGGGAGTCGGGGGGGGTGGGACAGATCCAAGGTGGCAAGTGGATGTTTGCAAGGGCTGGGAGACGACCAACTATAGCAACTTGGTTGTCTCCGTATCTGCACTTGTTCAACTTCAGCTCTTTGTTCAACATCTAGTCAGGGTGACAGTGAACACGTACGGAATCACGCTCCAGGATTCAGCATCATGGACTAAGAGTTTGGCTCGAGCCGATGGTCAATACTTTGCTCTTGAATGATCGGCGTTTGCCATTCGGACATGCTATGCCTTGACTCTTTTCGACTTGGGCCTCAGCATGCCCAACTTAAGCCACACGAGCTCCCTTTCCTGATTGGAGAATAAACACGCATCGATTGGTTCAAGAGCTGTTAGCACAGCGGCTGGGGTAACAGTGGACGTACCAACCATTCACATGACAGAACCAGGAGTGGATTTGCTGGCGCTTAGTGAGTATCCCCAGTCAGACTTCCCAGCCAGCTCGCGGGTAGCGGCCCGCTTTGCCAGCAGCATGCGTCCTGAGGAGACCTTCTGCAGCCAGCGTGTGGGCTTGATGCCCGGGAGGGTTGGCCAGAGAAACATATTATAATATGACAGCCTCGTTTTAGTTGCAAAGCCTGTAGCATCTCGTGCGAGGGCCCAGAGTTAAGCAATTGCTTGTGGTACACAGAGGGTATCTTGTCTAAACTGCTGGCATAATGACATGACAAGGAGTGTCATGTTGCCCTGCTTGGAGCACAGGGCAGGGCTGTTGTCAACGTTCAGCTTGGCTGTGCCCAGAACTTCGCGGAAAGTTTGCTTCAGGTCTCCGCACGCACGGTGCTTATGCTATTTGAGTCTGACGCTTCGCCTTGCAGCCCCAGCCGCGCCGCAACCTTCCAGCCCTCCTGCCAGGCTGTGCCCTCAATCCAGCATTCGTTTCAGGTGGCGACGGCGTGTCAAGCCAGTTGTCAAGACATTTGCTTTGGGTATGGGTTGTGCTCAATCCAGACTTTCTCAATTGGCAGGGTGCACGCTGCTAGGACGGCAGAGCTCAAAGACTGCCAAAATGAAGCTAACCGACCCCTGCCCAGAGCGTTGTGAAGTTGCGGCGTTGCGGAGCCTGGCCAATGTCATGGCCGAGAGTCATGTCGCCTGGTTTTTCATTGTGCGCCTCGAAGGCTGCTTCGAATGCGGTTTGCGGTTTGCGGTTTCTGGCTGGGTCTCGCGGCAGACGGCCTCATGATCAGCGTCGTGCAAAACTTAGTGGCAAGCTTCAGCTTCGAACTGCTGTGGTTGGCAGACACAATACTGCCGGCCTCATTGGGCTCACTCCAATCCTTTCGGTTTTGCCATCAACGGTGTTGAAGGCAACCGACCTTCCAGCTGAACGTAGACATGAGTCAATGTTTGCGGAGCCTGCTGGCCAAGCAGCCAACAAGGCTTAGGTCCATCTCAGCCCTTGCGGACCGCAGCGTCCCAGTGTAATTATTCTATAGGGATTTGTGCCTTAACCTAGGCTGCTTTGAAAGACGTTTGCTTTGGGTACCAGGAACAGCACAAATGACATTATCAGGACTGTCCTCTTCATGCGGGGCATGCTTGGCTGTAGGGCCTAAAGCAATAAGGCGCTTGCATTTCGCGTGGGCTGATGTCAGCTACAACTTTGACTTATATTTGAAACTAAGTCCGTGGTAAGACCACCAAAGATTTGCATTGCTCAGCCCGAGCAACTGATACTTAGTGTTCAGAACCCAGAACCCCGGGCTGCTGTTTTGCCCAAATAAATGCAGGGATTGAGAACAGCAACTCCGAATTTGCAACGCCCAGCCCGAGCACTCGATAGTTTGGGCACATGTTTCCGCACGTTGTATTTAACATCATGGGCTCCTCCTGCCCTGAATGTGTTCCTGGCCTGAGCAAGCAATAGGCCCAGACAAACAGCAGGTCAGCCAGTAACAACGCAGAGTGGTGAAGGACGGCCCCGGTGTCATGTTGGGTTGACTTCAGCAAAGCACGGAGTTGTTGGGCCCAGTCAGCTTGGTTGTGCCCAGGCCACCGCAGCAAGCTTCAGCTTCAGCCTGCTGTTGTGTTTGGCAGACACAGCAATGCTGGCCTCCAGAGGTGTTCGAGCCAATTTTGGCTTGATGCGCGTTTGTGCAATAGTGGTTGGAGGTTGAACTTTGGGAGCGAAACAAAAACAGGCCTGCTTGCGGTGACAGGCGTAGGCTCTCGGATGGCAATCCTTTCGGCTTTGCCATCAGAAACTGGTGTTGAAGGCAACCGACCTATGCTCAGAGCTTTGTGCAGTTCCGGCTGCACATGGTAGGAGTTAATCTGTGCTGAGCCTACTAGCCAAGCAGCTAACAAGGCTTGGCCTCATGTTGGGTTGACTTAAGCGAAGCACAAGGTCGTTGGGCTCCGTCAGCTTAGTTGCACCCAGAGCTCCGCAGCAAGCTTTAGCTTCAGCTTGTTGGTGTGGTTGGCAGACACAGCAATGCCGGCCTGCGCTGTTGTTCGAGTCTGACGTATTGCCTTGCAGCGCCGGCAGTGCCGCCACTTCTCAGCCCTCACACTAAGGCTGGCAGGCGGTTCTCCAGCATGTGATTCAATTCTGGCTTCGCCTGAAAACTTGGAGGTTGCACTTTGGGAGCTTAACGAAACCTGGCCTGCTGTCGGTGACGGGTGTAGGCTTTCGGATGGCAATCCTTTCGACGTTTCCATCCGAAGCTGGTGGTGAAGGCAATGCCAACCTATGCCCAGAGCTTTGCGAGTTGACAACAAGCTCTCGGATGGCAATCCTTTCGGCTTTGCCTTTGGTAGCCGGTGTTGAAAGCAGAGCCTGCTAACCAGTACTTGCACAGCGCAGCGTCCCAGTGGCTGCTTGGAAAGAGGTTTGCGTTGGGTACCAGGAGCAGGGTTTCTTCCCAGCCCTCATGCTAAGGCTGGCAGGCGTTTCTCCAGCACGTGGTTCGGTTGCTGGCTTTGCCTCAAGACAGCTCAGAGGTTGCAATTTGGGAGCGAAGCAAAACCAGCCCTGCTTGAGTTGACGGCGTAAGCTCCCGGACAGCAATCCTTTCGGCTTTGCCATCAGAAACTTGTGTTGAAGGCAACCGATTAATGCCCAGAGCTTTGCGAAGTTCCAGCTGCACGTGGTAGGAGTCAATCTGTGCGGAGCCTGCTGGCCGAGCAGCCAACAAGGCTTAGGTCCATCTCAGCCCTTGCGGACCGCAGCGTCTCAGCCTTGGCTTGGGAAAAAGAAAGAGCTGACCGTGTTCCCATCAAACAGGTTCAGCGATGTGTTTTGCTTCGGCGAGGGATTTTGCGAAGTCGTTCTGCGAAGCGCTCCTGCGCGGTTCTGCGAATCCGGTTAATCAAGTGCATAGTTGGCTGGGAAAGTCTGCGAAGGGTTCTACAAAGTTCTTCGGCGAAGCGAGGCTGCCGTTCTGGAGCCGCAGCTCGTTCCTAAGTGGCTTTGCGAACTTGACTCGGCTTCCAGTGCCCCCTTATGTTTCTTTCCGGTCACCAAATCTTGGAACGAGGTTTGCGTTGGCATGTTGACTCGGCTTGGTTACGACCGGAGCTCACGGCTATGCCGAGAGGCTTGCGAAGTTCCAGCTGCACGTAGTCAGGTGTACGAAATTTTCGTAAGTGGATAGAATTCGGGCACAGTTCGGAGAGGCTTTTGACAACCAGGCGCTGGGATGACACGTCCTTGCCATTTGGAAGCGAACTGTTCCAGCTGTCAGCTTGTTGCAGGGCCTGACGCTGTCGCGTGGACGATTCTTGCAGCACACAGGCATCTCTTTTTTCTGTCGGTGAATGATCATTTGCCCAGGCAGCATCCCAACCGGTTCTTCCGAGCATTGCGCCTTGATCTGAACAACGCACCCAGACGTTGGACAAACCCAGCTTCGCATCAGCTTGGCTGTGCCCAGAGCTCCGTGGCAAGCTTGGAAGCAATGGTTTCATCGTCGGCGTTCAGGCAGATGCATTTGTCCTCGCGTTGGCCAAAGAAGCGTCTAGACTTTTCCAGTGAGCTTGCAAGCGCAAACAAAAACTCTGCAAGCGGGGCTGCTCTAGTCCCGTTCCAATCTGCTGGGGCAGACAGCGTACTCTGTGCCCCGCAGAACCGCTGAACTGCTGGCCTGCTCCCGCGCTCACACCTTTTGAGTTGTGACGCTTTTGTCCTGCACACATGCCAGGGCGCAAGGTAGCCCTCTGGAAGCTTCGGCGGCCCCTCTTGCACGTCTGTCTCAGCAACCCGGGCTTTTACGGCCCTTTGGCCCAACCCAGCAGCTATCAAGAGGCCCGCGAAAGGCAGCCGAAAGGCGGGCGACCGGATGAATTCTAGGCAGCTTTGCATTGAACAGCCCCCAACTGCGCTGCACCTGAGCTGTCCTTCTCATGTGGGAGAGGCTTCGGCCTAGGACCGAAGGAGCACAGGGTAGTTGCAGCTTGTTTGGACTGGCGCCAGCTATAACGTGGATTTGTCTTCCAAGCTAAGTCCGTAGTGAGGCAACTGGAGCTAAAGATTTGCACTGCTCGGGCCGAGCCACTGACATTTAGGGTTCAGAACCCCAAAGCCCAGTTCCCAAGTCGGGCCCCTCCCGCCCTGAATGTGTTCCTAGGTGTCGCAAGCAGCAGGCTCAGAAGAACAGCAAGTCTGTCAGTATAGGACCGCCCCTTCAATGTTGCCTGCTGCATAAACAGGATTGAGGACTCCGAATGTCGCAAGTTTTTTGTCAGGCGTTCGGAATGTCAGAGCTCAGGGCCCGCCTGCTCAGAGCGTACAGGCAAATCAGACGGTCAACTTGGCTTGCAGCAAAATCCGACGCGCGTGCCCATTGGGAATGGACACCAGACCAGTTTGAGCATAGCTTAAACCGAGGCTCTCCAGAGCTCAGGCCTCAGGATGGTGCTCTCTTTGCGTTGCATTTTCCCGGGGGTGGATGTTGCCCGGCCACACACTGCACACTGAGCCCTTCTTCCCCATGGCCTGCGTGCTTTTGAAGGCTGTCATTGAAGTCTCATTCGCGCCAGCCTTTCCTCTTCTTCCTCAGGGTGACCGGGACAATCGCATGAGAGAATTGAGAACTTGCAAGGGCTTTTTTGCCCGGCGCAGCCGGAGATGCCACAAGCGGCGGCGGCGAAGGTCCTTACAGTTGCGGCTTTCATGAGCACACGTGGTCCTTCCTCCCATTCGATTGGACAATGAGCGGCGTTTTTGCTGTGGCAAACATGTCTCTTCCTCCTTCTGCCCCTCTCATTAAGCATGTTATAGGAGTGGCTGGAGTATAGACAATTCGATGCACGGAGGTGTTCCACCCTTTCAGATGGGGCGATGATCGCGTGCAATCACCCTTAGGGAAGGCAATCACTTGCGGATCCCAGCCGGAGTGGACGCGTCGCCCGAAATGAACTGGATGGTTGCGTAATTTAAGGTTAGCTATCAAGGATTCAAATGACAACTCCTTTCTTTCGGTGTGCTAATAAATTAATATCTAGTTGGATTTGAGCAGTGCTTGATTCAGATGTTGTGATTGACACGTGCCAGCAATGTTTTACTGTTTTTTCCTTGCAGCGCGAGCGCGGCCTGTGGATAGTGCGACTTTGTGCGGCCACTCAATCTTCTCCGCTCTATCTGGCATCTTCGAAGCACATGCGCTGCAAGCAGCTGAAGTGTGCGAGATCATGAAGCTAGCCGAAGCACAGTGTTGCCCTTAGCTTTGAGAATCCTAGCCATGCCCCATGCTTGTCGCAGTTGACGCGACCTCCGCGATCTCTGTGACGCGCACGAAGCAAAACAGAAGAGTGGCGCAGGTGGATCTTTGCGATTTTTCCCATGGTTTGCCCAACGCATGGCGCCGTTTCCATCAAGCTACGAGTGGTCCAGGCATGTTTTGGGTTAGTTTCCCTCCGCGGTTCAATCATTGGCATGGGCAGGCTGTTCCCCGCCAGGGGAGTGCGATGTCAAGCTACCTGTTTTGGGGCCTTTAGGGTTGACAACCTGGACCTGTTTGTGTTCGGCCACCCAATGACCCCACAAACGCAAACAAAGCGAACGCTTGTCAACTTGTTTATGGTTTCAACCTGGACAGCCTGCACTTCGATGTTCAACCTTGGTTTGAGCATTGGCGGCTGGATGCTCGCTCAATGGTGATAAAAAGCTTCATGAAAGATGCATTGAATCTGAATGAATGGCAGTGCCGCTTTTCCAAGATGTGTCAGAGCCTTCTCTCTGGAAAATCCGCCAGAACCAGGGCAAAGGTGATGGCTTCTGAAAATGGATGAAAAGAAGGAACCAAGAGCCCTTTTTTCATGAAGGTCTACATGCATCTGACCAACTACTCGGTGAACAAGAAGTCCGCAGCCTTCAAGGACGAAGATCCCTTCAACGTGCCTCGGGAAAATTGCGCAAGGTGGGTGTACCAAGTCTGGGCTTGAGTGTTGTTACCCAGATCCGTTGCGGAAAAGCTGTGATCACGTCAGAGTGCATCTTTTGAGTCCTAGTGCGTGCCTACTGCGAAACAGTACCATTGTGTGAGGCGATGGGAGGGAGACACTGCTTGTCATAGTTTAGCCAGAACAGGAAGTTACTGAGTCAACTTCATGTTTATCAACTTTGCCGCCTACCAAAATGCTGGTGGTATAACACACATGCATGTTTACATCTTGGACTTGGGCTGAAGCTTGGCACCCGTTTCAAGCCCGAGGCGCATCGCGACGAGCTTGCCCAGGGTTTGTTGAATTGCTCACGGAGTCAAATTGCACGTTGTTCTGGCCTGTTCAAATGCTAAGCACAGGATCTGTCGATTGGGATGCCATCCCTTCATTTTGCCTAAGGCGACGGTCACTTTTCCCCATCGAATCTTGGGGGGGTTGCCACTCTCTGAGGTACACACGAGAGCCTCCAAGCGGCCTCTGTCGACGCTGCTCCTGCAAATCGCGGCCCAGGATCTCTTTTTGGGGCAAAGGGCACGGTGCAGAAGAAAGATTCTGGGCCCAGGTTGTTGGCAATAGGCGCTTTGCCATGTGTGATTTTCCACCTTTCTAGCTATGCGGCCTTTCCGAGCATCCAACAGACAGATCCCATTGAAGCGGTGGAATTTGCATGTGCTGTAAGGCATTCTTTGGATCAGCCATTTGTCATCCCCCTGAAGTTTAGCAGGCTAGCATGGAAGACTGGTTTGCAGAGGTGGGCCAAATGGGCCCAACCTGAAATGCAACAACCAGGATTCTGATTTGCTAGCTCCGGGCTAAGGTACTTGTACGTAGGTTCTCTTCCATGAGCGTTTGGAAGATGTTTGGGGAGCCGACCAGACAAACCAGCAGAAGCCGAACAAAATGACACCTTTACCATTGTGGCCGTGCTGTATTGTTTGGTCCTGTTCATGTCTAGTTGAATTTGCGCTGCAGAACAAGTTTTGTCTCCTAAAGTAAACGGGTGGGAAGATGCACATACGTACTAGCATAAGCAACACAAGCACTAGGGATGCACACCACTGCACGCACACACACAGACAGAGACACGAACACGGACACAGACACAGACACAGAGAGACACACACACACACACGCACACCCACACACCCACACCCACACGCACACGCACACACACACACAGACACAGACGCACAGACACACAGACACACAGACACACAGACACGGACACAGACACAGACACAGACACAGACACAGACACAGACACAGACACAGACACACACACACACACTCCCACACACACACACACACCCACACACACACACACACTCCCACACACACACACCCACGCACACACACACAAACACAAACACAAACACAACCACAAACACAAACACAAACACAAACACACACACACACACACACACACACACACACACACACACACACACACACACACACACACACACACACACACACACACACACACACACACACACACACACACACACACACACACACACACACACACACACACACACACACACACACACACACACGCGCACACACACACACACACACACACACACACACACAACACACACACAAACACAAACACACAAACACACACACACACACACACCCAGCGCGCGCACGAGCGCGCGCGCGCGCGCTGCGCGCGCACGCGCACGCGCACGCGCACGCGCGCGCGCACGCGCGCACGCGCACGCCCGCCCGCGCGCACGCACGCACGCACGCGTGCACGCGCCTGCACGCTCCTGCACGGTTTTTTTCACTCTCCTGCACGCTCCTTCACGCTCCTTCACGCTCCTCCATGCTCCTTCACGCACGGAGAGGATTCGATCACGCCACGCCACTCGCAACAAAGAACACTATCAAGCGCATGCACGCACAACCTATACATCACACAATACAAGGCGCACGCAACACATACACACAGATATACCTGACAACACACGCGCGCAACACACAGCGCAGAACACACAGCCCACAGTACATCCACTCATCAGGGCAACAGGCTCGCCAAGCAAGCAAACAACACCGGCTGTCCAACATGTTCAGTGTCAAGGCAACTCAGATAATGTTTGCACTGCACAAAAAGCGCCCCCGCCTTGAGAAGCTCGAGAAGGTTTTGTGAGCTCCCAGAAGAGGTTGGCGTCAAAGTGAGTTCGAGGTTTACAGCATGTAGTATTGGGCAGTACTACTTTCGAATTGGGCAGTGCTACTATTGAACTGGGCAATGATACTTTTTGAAATGGGCAATGCCTTTTTTGAATTTGGTAATGCTACTTTTGAATTGGGCAGCGCTGCCTTTTGAACTGGGCAATGCTACTGCTACTTTTGAATTTTGGCAATACTAGTTTAGTATTGTGCAATTCTACTTTAGTATTGGGCAATACCACTTTTCAATTGGACATGATGGTTACACAAAGATTCCATGAAATTTGATGAGGTTTGCATCGAGGTTTGACTTTTCCATCTGGCTTCCATGGCCGCCCCAATAGGATTCCATGAAAGTTGATGAGGTTTCCAGTGATTGGCACGTGGGTGCATAGGGTGCATAAATGCAGCACATGTTGCAATGAACAAGTAAGTAGCTAAGAATGGCAGGGCAGAGATACATCGATGACAAAGAGGAGATGGCGAACGAAAAGCTGGATGCTGAAAGACAATGGTCTCATTATTGGCACACCATTGAACGAAAGTTGGCATGAGATGTGCGCTACAGCTGCGCAGGAGTCGCTGTCGGGGTTGGGGATTGTTCTGGACTGAGGCTCTCTAGTATGGGTGAGACTGGTATACATCTACATCACCATCATGCCGGAAGCAGATTACAGTGGCTTGCATGAATGCATGGCATTGGGGTATAAATCAGTCAAGTGGCATTGCTTAATGAGGGGGATGTGCTAGTCTTACAATGATGAGACTGCCAAGAACAAGCTCGCCCATGAGATGCATGAAAATCTCATGGCATGCCTTGCTGTGATTCAGTATTCTGACCTCATGTGAGGAAAACACCCTTATTTGATGTTATGATGTATCATGACAATCCAAAGGGCTGCTTGGTAAATGTCAAGCTTTTTTGTTGCACATGCACTTCATTGCAGCACGAGTTGGCACTGTCAGCTAAGAATAGCCTGATTGGATCAGAAATGAGTTCATGCCCACCCAGACCAAACATGAAGCCGCACAAGAGCACAGCCTGCTTTGAAATAATACAGAGTTTGCCAATTGATGCAGAACCACACCGGCATGCAGCAGGCATGGCTACTTTGCATCAAGCATACATGAGCTGCCACCCATCCTATCTGTGAAGACGTAGGTGAATCCCATGCATGATGCACAGTGCTGATTGCAACAGTGGGACACAGCTTGGAGCTGCCGAGGATGCGCTGAAATTCACCTACCATGGCCACGGACTAGGGATGCAGACATTGGCATCCTTGCGGATGAGGATCTGCCTGAATGGACTGAAGCAGATTTCAGCGGCTATCAGATTTGAAGCTGAAAGCAAGAAGAATCTGAGTGAAGAACCAACGGCGAAGTATGATAAGCTGAAGAAGACGCACGCAGCAAAGAAACAACTCAGAGGTGTGGCAAAATTGTTGACCAATCCTGAGAAAAAGGAGGCTAATGAAATGCCAGCAGCAAAGCAGAAGCAAGGAGACAAGAACAGAAGACGAAGGAGGAGAAGAAGAAGATGAGTGCATTCAAGAAAGCAAAGAAAGCCATTGTGAAACAAGTTAAGAGGATGGCACTCGCTGCAAAGAAAAAGAAAGATAAGGCAGTTGGACCAGAACCGATCCAGGACAGCCGTGAGAGCTAGACGAAAATCAGTTGCCAGCAGAGAGCGACAGCTGCATCAGCAGAAGCACCACATGAGCCACCGCCACTGGCAGGGCGCTGCCATGAGCGCATCTGAGGATTCACTGCATATGCTCTTGGATGTGGGCCATAGGTGCAAGAAGGCAAGATGTGCCGGATGCAAAAAAGCAATGGAAATGGCCACAGTGAAGTTTGCAAAGATGGTCTCTGGCACTGAAACCGATTCTTATGATGGGGTGAAGATGGGCCAGTGCCTAGGCTGCACCCCATGCAGTTAGTCAGGGCAACGCGTGTGCTGCGCTGCGGGAATCTTAAGACTGACTTGGTTGCCCAAACTCTGAGATTGACATGGTCAGTCTTGGTGTGGCTCAGCGGCAGGCAGATGGCCTCGCTGCCTGGCATAACTTCCTTGATCCAACAATCGCACATGGTGCAGTATTTGAAGCAGCATATGCTGGGTGTCAAGCGCTTGTTCCTGTTTCCTCTATTTGCTGGTGGGCAATTTCGTGCTTTTGGTGCTAGACGTGGCGAAGGCACCAAACATGAGCATCAGTTGAGATACTACGAAACACCATGCCCCAGTCGTGCATTGATGAGACAGGTCTTGCTTGCCAAGCTGCTGCGCATGGGAATAGTGGATGAAGCATTCTGAACAGGCCATCATTGGCGCCATTTGCATGGCCAGGCTGTCATTGCAGGTGCGAAGCATGGAGGACCAGGATGCTGAAGTCACTGCAGCATTGGCAACCGAGCTGGATAAGAAGAAGGCTGAGATGAAATCTGGAGAGGCAGCATTGAACAAGTATGGTGGGAATGTGGCTGCTGAGAGATTGAGAATCTTTTATGCTGCCAAGAATCTGCCTGGGAAGAAAAAGTATCTGACTGCGTTCCAGGCAGAGGCAGTGAGGATGTTTAGAATGAGAAAAGTCTGTGGATGAGCTTCAAGAAGATTACAGGAAAGCAATGCGCAAGATCCATGTCGGAGAAGTTGGTGTCTGCAGCAAATGCAGGTATGAGAGTGGATGCCTTGCGTGTGACCCAATCAAATGCATTGCGTATTGGGTGAGAAGGGAAGGCAAGAGATTGGGTAGAGCCATCGCGGATGAATACAAGCGATGAAGCTTCCATTTCAGTCAAGTCAGCAGGATGCAGCAGCGTGGACAAAATATCTCGATGGGTTCTTGAGAGTTTGATTTTAGTTGGGGTGGGGCTTCCTGATGTTTGGGGTTTCTCGGGGAGTCCGATTCAATAGCACTTGGTTTTTTAGGGAAGAAACGGTTATTCAGGTGAATTCCAGGTTTTCAAATTGTGCAGTATTGGGGCCCTTGGGGGCCGGGCGGGTTTAATATTGCACTAATCGGGGTTAGCATTAGAATTGCGAGTTGGATGCAGTTTTGCTCCAACCAGCTGATATGGCCCAAAGCCTAAACATTTTCCCATTCAGGCTATGTCACAAGCTTGTTGTTTGCGTGAGCCCGGCGGTTGCACGTACTGGCCGGCTTTGCGAGGAGCAGGAGCGGGGCCGCAGCGGGGACATTGCGGAGAAGTTGATGCGTTCCTGCGAGGAGACCTGCGCTGTGCTGCTGCAGGCCATGGTGCCGGTGATGAAAGTCACCTACGACCCTTGCCTAGAACAGAAACATCAAACACGAGCATATGTTAAATTCCTTATTCCCAAATGCGTAGCGAAGGGTTCCCGTTATTAAGTGGGGTCTGGGGGTAAGGTCGTGTTCGCTGGTCGGCTCGCGTGTGGCCGAAAGCGTTCGAAAGCGTCCGCGAGCAGCGTTGCGTGTTATTTCGTTGCGCAGGCGCAGTGTTTTGGAAGGCTGCGTGTTCTCGTTGCCGTGCCATTGGGATTTGCGTTCCAGGGGTGGTCGTTTCGAGGTGTCTTGCTTGGCATGCGCGTGGTAGTGCTTGCGCCGGCGCCGTTTTCGTTAGGCCTGTCGTACAATCGGCTTGTTTTGGCGGGCTTGAAGCATGTCAAAATTGGTCGAAATCATTCTGGCGCCGCAGTCCCGTGCTAGTTTTGGATGCGTGTCGTAAACGTGTCAAAGTTGGATTTCGTGGCAGGTGCAGCAGTTTCGATGATTTTGAGTTCGTGGCAAGCTTACTTTGCGTGACAGGCGCAGCACTTTCGAGCGTTTTGATTGAATTTTGTGGCAGGCGTAGCACTCTGGAGCTTTTCGTGCAAATTTCGTGGCAGGCGCAGTACTTTGGTGCCTGGGTGTAGATTTCGTGGCAGGCACGTCACTTTGGCGAGATCGCTCTCGCTGTGGCGCGGTGCACATTTTGAGAACGCGAAGCGAACCCTCTGCGCACTTTGGGTGTGACAAATCGCTCTCGCTGTGGCGCGGTGCACATTTTGAGCAAGCGAAACGAACTCTCTGCGCGTGTTGCTCAGAAGTGTCAGATCAGCAGTGTTGCTCAGAAGTGTCGTTCAGAAGTGTCGATGAGCAGTGTGGATCAGGTGTTGGTCAGAAGTGTGGATCAGAAGTGTTGCTCATCAGTGTTAATCAGAAGTGTGGTTCAGCAGTGTTGCTCAAACTGTCGATCAGAAGTGTCAATCAGAAGTGCGGATCAAAAGTGTTGCTCAAAAGTGTCGATCAGAAGTGTTGCTTAGAAAAGTCGGTCAGAAAAATTGTTGCTCAGAAGTGTTGGTCAAAAGTGTCGATCAGAAAAGTGTGGTTCAGAAGTGTTGATCAGGTGTCACTCAAAAAGTTCGCTCAGAAGTGTCAATTTTGATGAGAAGGGTTCCTCAAAAGTGTGGGTCAGAAGTGTCGATCAGAAGTGTTGCTCAGAAGTGTCGATCAGAAAAAGTGTGGTTCAGAAGTGTTGGTCAGGTGTCGCTCAAAAGTGTCGCTCAGAAGTGTCAATCAAAAGTGTTGTTCAGAAAAGTCGATCAGAAAAAATGTCCCTCAGAAGTGTTGCTCAGAAGCGTTGATCAGATCAGACGTGTTGCTCAGAAGTGTCGCTCAAAAGTGTCAGTCAATTCAGGAGTGTTGCTCAGAAGTGTCGTTCAGAAGTGTCGATGAGCAGTGTGGATCAGTCAATTCAGGAGTGTTGGTCAGCAGTGTTGCTCAAACTGTCGATCAGAAGTGTCAATCAGAAGTGCGGATCAAAAGTGTCGCTCAAACGTGTCGCTCAGAAGTGTTGGTCGAAAGTGTGGTTCAGAAGTGCTGATCAAGTGTCGCTCAGAAAGTTCGCTCAGAAGTGTCAATTTTGATGAGGGAGGGTTCCTCAAAAGTGTCGGTCAGAAGTGTCGATCAGAGGTGTTGCTCAGAAGTGTCGCTCAAAAGTGTCAAATCAGCAGTGTTGCTCAGAAGTGTCTCTCAGAAGTGTCAGTCAGAAGTGCGGATCAAAAGTGTGTCTCAGAAGTGTCGATCAGAAAAAGTGTGGTGCCGCTCAAAAGTGTCAATCAGAAGTGTTGTTCAGAAAAGTCGATCAGAAAAAGTGTCGCTCAGAAGTGTCGCTCAGAAGTGTCAGTCAGAAGTGCGGATCAAAAGTGTTGCTCAGAAGTGTCGATCAGAAAAAGTGTGGTGCCGCTCAAAAGTGTCAATCAGAAGTGTTGTTCAGAAAAGTCGATCAGAAAAAGTGTCGCTCAGAAGTGTTGCTTAGAAGTGTCGATCAGAAAAAGTGTGGTTCATCATCAGGTGTCGCTCAAAAGTGTCGCTCAGAAGTGTCAATCAGAAGTTGTGCTCAGACGTGTCGCTCAGAAGTCTAGTACGCGCTGGAAAATCGCAACTTTGTAGCGCAAGTCTACTGTGCGAAGTACTGGTTTCCAGCCCTAGCTGGAAAATCACAACTGTGTAGCACAAGTGTAGCGCACGAAGTACAGGTTGCTGGAAAATCACAACTCTGAAGTGCAAGTCTAGTGCATGAAGTACAGGCTGGCAGCTCCAGCTCGAAAATCGCAACTTTGTAGTACCAGTCTACAACGTGCGAAGTACAGGCTTCCAGCGCCAGCTGGAAAATCGCGACTTTGTAGTACAAGTCTAGTACGTGAAGCACAGGTACGCGAAGTCCAGCTCTAGCTGCAAATCACAACCTTGTAGTAGAAGCCTAGCGCACGAAGTACAGGTTTCCAGCTGTAGCTGGAAATCGTAACTTTGACAAGTCTAGTACGCGAAGTACGGGTTTCCAGCTCCAGCTAGAAAATCGCGACTTTGTTGTACAAGTCTAGTACGCGAAGTACAGGTTTCTAGCTCTAGCTGGAAACTCGCGACTTTGTAGTACAAGTCTAGTACGCGAAGTACAGGGTTCTAGATCTAGCTGGAAAATCGCGACATTGTAGTACAAGTCTAGCACGCGAAGCTCTGGCTGGAAAATCGCGACTTTGTAGTACAAGTCTAGCACGCGAAGCTCTAGCTGGAAAATCGCGACTTTGTAGTACAAGTCTAGTACGCAAAGTGCAGGTTTCCAGCTCTAGCTGGAAATCGCAACTTTGTAGTACCAGCTCTAGCTGGAGAATTGCAACTTTGAAGTACAAGTCTAGTGCGCGAAGTGTGCAGGTTTCCAGCACTAGCTGGAAAGTCACAACTTTGTAGTGCAAGTATGGTACGTGAAGTCCCCATTGGCTTATACCGAAAAATGTTCTCTCTAATTATTTTCTTGGGTTTGCGCAAAGTGATGTGCATTCGGGTTCGTGGGCTCTATCAGGCTTTTTTGCACTGACTGGCTTCCCGTCTTGAACTACGTATGCTAAGTACTGCTCATATGAGCATGTGGTGTAATTAATGCTACGCTTGCTTTACGACTGGCTTCCAGGACCTTTTGGCATTGTATGCGTGCATGTGTGCAGGCCATAGCCTTGCTCAGATGTAGCTGTGTTGAGTTGTGTGCCGTTTAGGCATGCATGGCTTGCTTGTGCCTTTGACAATTTATTGCTTTACTAATGTCTGTTGATGTTTGCGCGTGGCTGTTGGGAGAGCAAAGGTCAGGGCTATTCCGCGGGGATCGCACAAATCTGAGAAAGAGAAAGCCATGAACAGCCCAAGAGATGACACCAGACATTTGAGATCGTGGCCTCAGGATCGGGTGGCAAAGGAGGCCGCGCCCAAGGGCAAGGTGTCGCCCATGCGCTCCGGCCGCATGTTGACTATAAGTATCTTGTAGGAACACTCAGCGGCTTGGTTGTGGACAACTTTCTTTAGGAAATCCCTTTCAATGTTATACGTCCCAAGGTTGTCATGAGAATGATGCACATTGGAAACTAGAAGGCGTGATTTGCCACAACCATCAGGGCAGGGGCTCTAGAATGAATTAGATGGCAAGCTTGGAGTGAAGAGGTTTGGTTGCCATGGCCGTATATATTTCTTTCTGAAGGGGACTTCGTCAACTCGGGCTGGTTTGCTTTGGACCCACCGGGGATTGACTCATCCTTGCATGATTGAACTGCTACGTGAATTTAGTCATGAATGAACCACTCCATACATATGAGCAAGCAGTCCAGTAAATGTACTACTTTTCAGTAGTTGCTGAAGCAGGAATGAAGCAGCCTGCGTTTGGAGGACCTTTCATTCGGATTGCCATGGTGGTTTGCAGTTGATCGCCAATTCAGAAAGCCGATGCCTTGCGTTTCTTTGTGCCTACTTCAAGCCTGAGGCCAATTTGGAACTGCATCAGCTATGCCCATAGCGTCACAGTTTGCAACTCGTTTTGTTCCACCCCCTTCGCAGACAGCATATCAAGGACATCGCACCCTTTATCAGCTCAGGACAGTGCTACAGTGTTTGCAAAGGTCGTTGCGGCCCTTATTGTGAACAGGATGGATTGTGCTAGACAACTGCAGGTTCCCAAATCAGGCTTGTTTTCAGGGGGGACTTGCTACTTACTGTTGTTGACGCTTGCTTCAGCGAGCCGTCCTTTCATGAGCCACGTTCCGCCGCCCCCAGGAAAAGGAAGTCGGAGGAGGAAGAGGAGGAATCGGAGGAAGCAGAGGACTCCTGGTGTTCATTCAGTGGATTCCTGGATAGGCATTTTGGCTGTTCTTGGACATCGCTGTTCTAACATATCAAGCCACAAAATGTTTTGGTGGGGGAGACGGTGACATCAAGTGCCACTAGGTGAGGAGAACCTTGTGCAACTTCAAGCCTGGTGTGATTCGATGATTCCTTTTTGAAGATTCGGATGTTTTCATTGGCCAGAAAGTTGGCGCTTGAATTTCTCAGTCTGAAGGCTTTCATCCATGTGAGCGGGAGGTGTCACAAGCATGTGGCTCTGGCATCTTGCGTTTACAAGAGACATCGTGTCTTGTCCCACAAGCCCAAAGTTAGTATTTGGGGTAATGCTCAACCCGCCAGGAGTTCGCTCCCAATTGTTTCCAGATCTTGGGTGTGGACGTGCTGCTGGATGCGAATCTGCAGCCCTGGCTGCTGGAGGTGAACGCCAGGCCTTCGATGGATATCTCCAACCCGGCACCTTGGCGGAGCCCTGGGGCCCGGTGAGGGGCCTTGGTCTTCTGGTTGATTTGATGGAGGGGTGTTCTGCTTCAGGGGTTCTTGACTGCTGAGGTAGCACGTCCACATTCATCTTGGTGTGTTTTGGGCTTGGCTGAGTGCTGGGTGGTTCCAGCTGGCTTAGACAGTGGCGTACGGCAATTACAACTGTGTGCTCCTGGGCTTGTGCACGGCTACTCGGGCAAGCCAACAAGTTGGGGCGTCTTCAAATTTTCGAGACAAGATTGGGCAACAATTGCCTTAACAACTGGTCCCTATTCCCCTTTGAAGGAGGAAGTCAATTTGGCGCGAAACATCAGGGTACACACCGACGGCCTCTACCCCGAGCAAAGGTTTTTTAGAACCTGCTTGGCTTGGAAGGGTCTCTTAGGGTTCCGAACACTTATGCAGGAGGGCCACCTTTAACTGTAGAGCCTCCGGCTCAGTCCGCCGAGATTGCACTGTGCACTTTCCCTACCCCTTTATTGTCGCTTTACTACCCCTTCAAATCTCGTGCGTTTCCCCTGGATTCATTTCCCAGTCATTTCCCCTTCATGTCCATTACATTTCCCGTCATGTCCTATCATGTCCTCGTCATTGCCGCTTCATGTCCTTTTAATGTTCCCTTCATGTCCCTGTCCTTTGCCCCTTCCTTCTGCTTCATTTCCCATTCATGTCCCCTTCATTTACAGTCATTTCCCTACATCTCCCTTCGTTTCCGTTCATTTCCCCTTGGCGGTCTTTTGCGTCCCTTCGGTTCCCTGCATTCCCCCTTCATATGTTGGTCCTTTCCCGTTCATTTCCCCTTCATTTCGTGTCTTCCGTTTCCTGTCCCCTGCATGTCCTTGCATTTTGCTACACTTCACCGTCATTTCCCCATCATTTCCCCTTGAGTCCCCTTCATTTGCTCGTCATCCCCTTCAGCCCTTGGATTTCCATACCCCCTTGCACTTCCTTGCGCTGTTCTGCAGTTCCGCGCATGTCCCCTGCATTCACCCTTCATGCGGATGTCAGGCTCCTCCCTGTGCAAGCTAACACCATTAGCGTCTGAGACGAGGCGCACCGAAAACAACACGGCAGCAGCACCAGCATCACCGCCGGCACAGCTTCACGAACGAACAAGGGTGGAATAAAGCAATAACAACCTGCACCTTCCATTGATACCTTTTTTTTGTTTGCTCGCTTTGTTCTGCTCGAACACACAGTTTGTGCCCGATTCTTCAATTTCTGCCCGAGCAATGGTAAAGTGCCCGAGGTTTATATTTTCAAGTGAGCACTTTTCAAATTTGCGCTCGTTTGCGGGTTTTTGCGCTCGATTTGCGGGCCGTTGCGGGCGTTTTTGCACACAATTTCTGCTCGAGTAGGTCATATATTAGGACCTGACAGCCCTCATGCCTCCAAAGACTGCTCGAGGTCCAAAAAAGAGGACAAGCCCAAAGAACAAGGAACGAATTCCAAAAACCAGCCGATTGACAGGGGAGGCAGAAAATTTAGGTATGTTTGAAGGTCCAGGAAAGTAAAGGAACAGCAGCATTGCCGTTGCAGCTTCATTCCCCGTTCAGACGTGGCCCGGGGTTAGGGGGGTTGAACCTCTATCCTCTCTTTGTCCGACGTGCCGAATGTCGGCGGATATCACCTTTCTTTCTACAGGCCGTAGCGCCCTATTTGGCCGTCCCGGCGCATTGCCTCAGGTCCGTCTCTCCGAAGCGCCGCCCGGCACGCGGCGATGCGTGTGTCGGGACATGGATGGGGAGGACCACTACCACGTGAACAGCGAGGCGCGGACGGGCACGGTTCGGGGCTTCTTGGAACAAGGTGCGCGAATTCAGACTTGGGACTTTGGGTTCCTTCGCCGATCGGCCAAGACATGTCCCGCACTAGCTCTGGTAAACTCCTTGACAACTTGAATGGGTTTGGGCGCTGCGCACGGCTTCGGGGGTTGCATGTAGAGAAACTTGGCACGTGAAAACGTGCAAGTTGCTTTGGGTGAAACTAGCACCGCTCAAGTCTTGAGAGCCATTTGTGCATGTGAGAGTTTGGTTGAACATTGCCTGCCACAGCTTGAACATGCCCTTCCCTGCTGAGAGCTGGATGGCTAGCTGAGTCTGAAAAATGCCGATTGTGAATACCTGCATGCCCCAAGAGCCTGAGAGGCAACCACAAGATGTTTCTTCGGAGCCCTGTTTACTCCATTATAGCCAGGTGGACATCCGGGTCAAGAAGCAGGTTGTGGAAGGTGCCTTTCAGCTGGCTTTGGGCAAGGCCGGAGCGCTCAGACCGGTGTGTCTCAAAATGGTGGACATCTTTCGGTTGGCTTTTGTACAGGGAAACCACGTTTCCAAACTGGGACACCGACCCCTTTTGGCTGATTTGGCCAGGGGCACCAAGTTTCAACATGGGAAACCCACCGACCCCCTTTCGCGGACCACTTGAGACGATCAGGGCCAGCTTGAAGGGCTCCCCGGCTTCCGGACGATGGACTTCGAGCGCTTCAGCCCCTCGGAGGCTCAAGAGACGCTGCAAGCGGTGGCCCGGATCTACCAGGAGTGGGTCGACCAGAAAAGCCAAGGGGGGGGGGGCGTGAAGAACCCACAGAAACATGCGTGTTTTTTTGTTACAGAAAAAAACGGGTAGCCCAAAGACAAACATGTGCGCTTTTCAAGGCTTGGCACAAGAAACCATGTTTTTTCAATCAAGTAGCTAGCTGACTTGTTAACTGCGTTTCGAAGTGGCAACTCCCCCTCATGAAAACTACGCAGAGGTGGTTTCCTCTTTATTCAGGAAATGACCAATTTTGAGGCTTGAGGGAAGCCTTGTGTGCTTGGTATGGTCTTGGAGAAGAATCCGCAACAACACAGCGTACTGTCCAAACGGTTTGCTTTGTTTTCTGTGTTTTGTCCTTTGACGGGCAAGTGAGTCTGAGCGTACACTCCGTGAGGAGGCTGGCGGCCAGAAGAAGGCGGGAGAGCTGATATTGGCAGAAGGGAGATGCAGGAAGGACCAAAGCAGCCCCTACAGTTCCTGTGAATTGCAGCATGGGTAATGAGGATTGCTGAGGCAGTAAACAAAAACAGAATATGTCTTAAACAGCTCTTCTTGCAGCTGATTCCGCGCATGTTGGCATGATTCATCACCAAGCAAGAAGCCAACCAGAGCAGCCAATCAAGCGACCAATCAAGCGACCAAATGTACTACCCATAGCCGAAGCGAATCAACAATGCCACCACTGAACCGTTCCGCCTTGTCTCACCAAGGACCTATTGCCTCAGTGCAGTTCCCTTCCTTGTCCAAGAGACCCCACTTTTCCAATTTTGCTTTTGGTTTCTCTTCGTTCGTGTAGCTTAAGCATATGTCCAGTTTGTGTGGGAACTTCCGCCGTTTCTTCGACGCTTGGCGCATCTTGGCGCCTTTCGGCCGGTCACCTCCCCGTTTCGTTCGCCAGGCCTTCACCACCTCGGGGCTCAGGCGCACGCTGGCGAATGCGGTCAGCGAGAAGTTCCCGGCGCACCAGCTGGACACTTTGGTCACCAAGCGCCTTGGACCGGATTCCTTTGCCCCCTTCGGGTGGGGTGGGTGGGGTGGGTGGGGCTTCACCAGCTCCTCTAATACTTTAGTCTAGCTAGGGCTGAAGAGCTTACTCTTTTTCCAGCCAGTCAACTCAGCAAGTCAGAAGAAATTACTTTATGGACCTCCACCAGCACCCAGTATCAGGGGTCAGTGCGTTCATGATCCTCAAGAAGGCACAAAAAGCTAACTCAGGCCAGCTTCAGGGCGGGGGGGATGTTAGCTTTCTGTGCCTTCTTGAGGATCATGAACTTCCGAGTGCCTTGACAGACAGCAAACTCTACTTGGTCATGTGCCTCGGTCTTTGGCCATGGCTTCTGACTTGCAAGCGCCATTCATCAGAATCGCATCTGTATGAATATGTCGATCTATAGTTATGTACCTATGCATTGCCTTTTGGTTCTCAAAGCTCTGCTTTTCAGAAGCCGTAACCCGAAAACAAGATTCACCGTTTGTCATGGTCTTTTGGGCAACATGAGTTGTCATAAACGTGCTGGTTTTGTTGATCGTAGTTAGTGCGTAGCCAATTGCTCCTTCATTTTGCCAGCTCTTGTTGCCGGAGCTTTTCCCACTTCGAAGTCAAGTCAGATATGAGCAGGTGTCTTTGGTTTGCTTCCTTGTAGGTTGCCACTTAGGGGGTGGGAATTGTCGTGTTTGTTTGCAGCGATTGCCCAGGTGGAAGCACCAGGGCTACAGGCGCCGAGAGTATGACTGGCTACGGGTTGAGGTGAATGGGGAGATGCTCGACCGCGGACGTCTTGCGTCGCATGCCGCACCAACTTCTGGGATCCCGCACTTGGACTGCTGCATTCCCTGATAGATTTGATGTTACCAATTGTGCAAAGGTGACCTTATGACCTTCTGTATGGCCTCCACATGTAACAGACCCTGTTTGCTTGGAGTTTCGGGGTCATTTCTGCTCAATGCATGTAGCGTTGCGGGGTTGTATTCCTACCAAAGCTAGGTGGAACTGGGAAGTCTGAAGCTCCATCCTTAATGGAACAGGCTGGATGCTTCTCTGTTGCCCGTCTGGGGTTGGTTCTCCTTTCAAATTCAAAAGACTGGGTAGGAGGTGCCGCCCCCCCCCCACTCGAGTTGGAGGGGCAGAGTCTGGATGTGGATATTCATTAGTTTGTTTCATGTCCCTTGAGAAGACCAGCCTTCGAGCACTCGCCAGGCAGGACACTGCGGCGGAGGAGGACCAGGGCGACATCGCGGTCTTGGACTTCGCAGCGCTGTTGCAGGAGATTGCGGTTGCACGCTCCGGGCGCGAGGAGCAATCCGACGCCAGGGCGGGGGGTGGGGGGGGTGGAAATGTGGCTGCCTATGTTCCGTTGGGCCAGTTTAAAGTCAATTTCCTTTGAGTGGACCAGTAGGTGAGTTGCCACGTGGGAGAGAGTTCTTGTCAACTGTGGTGGTTTGGCCGGTGCCAGAAAGTTTGGAGCCAGACGAGAGGGAAGGGAGGCTTTTTATCAACTCTCTCCGTCTCCAGACTGATGTAACCTTGTGCACGGTTGCCCTTGTGGGTTTCTTCAGTATCCCTTTCAACCAGCAAAATGTCAACTTGTTCCAAGCATGATAGCTACTGAGCAAGTAACTTGGCCGGCCGCCTTACCTTCGGTTCGCTGAACGCTTGGGACACTGCTTCCTACTGGTTTTCCGCAGTGGTTGTGCTTGGTTCAGGCTTGTTTGAGCAGACCTATTTGGGTGTGTGTTTTTTGGAGGGTACCCATTGTTGTGGTTTTAAAGGGAAACCGAGAGGAACACCACCATTTTGATTTTGGTTGTCTCTTAAGAAACATACCCGTTTTTTCTCCCTCGTACCTCAAGACGCGATTCACGCACCCCAAGCCTGGATGCTTTTGCACTGAATGGAGTTCATTGGGACGTGCCCAAAGCTGACATTTTGACCTTAGACATTCAGCCATAGCCCCACACAGGAGCCGTTCAAATACAAGTCCTTCGAGCAGGTGAGATTCCATTGAAACTATGTTCGGGTGAGATCTGCGGAATTGGGCTGTGGCCATATCCCGGAAAAGGAACCACGCAAGCTTTCTGTTGGGAATGAACTGTATTTCTTGCATTGTTCCCGTCAGCAGCGGATCACTCGAAAAAACAGCACCTTTTTGAGACGACCTAGTGAAATCATTCAGCACAAATCGGGATCTCAAGCGGTCACGTCACGTACGTCTTGCTTTCCTGTTTCGTTCAACAACGTGCTCCGTGTGCCGACCTTGTAGTTCGGGCCTGCTTGGAGGGCCTGGTGCTGCTTTCTTTGTGGCTTTAGCCCGGGGGTGGGGGGCACTCCTTGATTTCATCTGCAAGAGTATATTGATCCTAGGGATTATCAGTAGTTTTCCCTCAAAATCATTTTGGCTTTTCAAAATGCAGGGAACTTGTCTGGAGCAACCACCGCGTGAGTGGCCCTGTGCTCAGGAGGATCCGCTGGACGCGTTGGTATCTTTGATCCAACTCTGCGACCCGGAGGGTTGACGGGCGCAGGTTTCCAGCTGCCGACCCTCGGGCCCTCGGGCCCTCGGTGCGGGAAGGCGCCGAACGCCGAAACTTGAAGCCTTGAGCCCATGCCGCGGGCTAGATACGCCTTGCTGCGTGTCAATGGAAAGACTATGGGAAATGTCAAGACAGGAAGTTAGGTGCACATAGCAACAGCAAAAAACACTGAAACCAAAACGGAGGGGCAAAAGCGATGAGGGTCACAAGGTTTCAATTTTCGGGGCAGTGGGTTAAGCCCCCCAATTCAGGAGGTGTTTGTCTCTCGTACTCTTTCTTAAGAACCCAAGACGGCAAATGAACAATTACCATTCAACCAGATAAGATCTGACACAACCCTCCCCCCTCAAAGAGCCAGATCTTATTACCACTGCCCGCAGTGATTGCATGCCAACATGATCTTCAATTTGCTTCTGGCACTGACTGGCTATTTACATGTGTATATATTTATATATATACATTATGTATATATATATATATACACATATATATATACACATATATATTCATAGATATGTTACGTGGTGGATGCCTATATACTTGCGTATGTATACATGCCGTTGTTTCAAAGCACCTGGTGCACATGAAAGGCATGTTCGGAGCCTTTGCATCCGCAGCCCCGAGCCCATCAGAGCTCCAAGGCCGGCAGATCGGACTGCGCCCAAGGCGCATTGTCGACTTTTCGGCCAACGGAGCGGCTTGCAATTTTGGACTTGGCCTTGAGCCTTGCCACGATGCCTGGATTTACCTCCGGGTCCTGTACGTTTCACAGAGGTCCCTAGATTCCCTCTGAACATCAATGACCTGGCCGCTTTGAAGCGAGTCGCCTCTTGATGCTTGAGGGGCTCTGTGAGGAACGACCGTCGCGCAGTTGAAGATGCCCGTTGCCAAAGGTGGCTTCCTGTGGTACTGCTTCAAACTGCTGCTGGGCGTATTCATGGCTGGCGGTCATTCGGGTTTGCCTTGCGTAGCCAAGTACTGGCCCGATGAGCTCGCTAGGCGTGTAGCGGCGTTTGCTAGTGCACCAGTAGTTTCTGAAAGACACGCAGGGAGCATTGGCCGAATGAGGGGTCGCTCAAAGGGCTGCACGCAGCAGCTCAGCGGCAAGTCTCAGTTGAAGACTCGACGGGCAGCAAGCGTCCTGTACAGTTGATTCGCTGCGGCAAAAGGCAAGCGATCAAGGCGGGGGCTCTCGGTGCATGTTGAGAAACAGCCCGCAAAGAACGGATACCCTTGCAAGTGGGTTGGCCCTTGCCAGCGGGTTTCATTGCGATTGCATGATTGCGCGGTCTGGTGGCTTGGAGTTTGCACTTTTCATGTCAGTTGTCAATGCAGCAGCATGTGTTACCAAAATATATAGGGAACCCAAGAATTGCTGGTTTCCCTTTAGCCCCCCTTTGGTCAGCATCCAGAAGAGGGGCTCCAATTCTTGGATACCGGCAAATGCTGCCACCTGTAAGGCAGCAGCACGCCTAGCACAGGCCAACGGCGAGCCATTGTTTGTGTTGTCAACCGGGCCTTGAAACGCATTTGTAACTTTGCAGCTTGTTTGGTTCTGAGCATGACCTGTTTGCGCGGAGTGATTTATGATATTTCGATGGTGACCCAGGGGGCACAAGTTGAAACAATTGGTCTGAGGGTCCAGGGCCACAGGTGACAAGGCTCCGCAGAGGGCCAACAAAGCCAATGGCGACGAGAGTTCAAAAAGCACCCACCAAAATAAGGCTCTTTGTTCCAACATGCAACTGTGCGATAGTCAAAGGAGGCCCCAATTCACGTTTCCGTTGCGTGCCTTGTGAGATCCATCGATTTTCACTCCGCACAGGAGCTGCAAACCAGCAAGGCCGCAGCACTGGGCTGGGGGTTTGTGATCTTTCGGATTGCCTGGCGTTTGGGATACACGTTGGAGTGCTTTTGTTTGCAAAATTCAAATCCTGTCCCGCAGTTTCGCTTAGATTCACCTCAGCCAATGCCCTGGCATCTCAGGATTGTTGTGCAATCCAGGGCAGTGGACAACTAAGTGCGAAAGGCAATCATCCTGAGTATATGCGGCAATGTGTGGGTCGTGGCCAGAAATGAAGCGGCGTTGCTCAAACAGTTGTACACACGTTTGCCAACACAATGCACAGTTGGAGGTGTCGTTGTGTTAAGTAGCTACTCAGATGCTCTCCTGCAGAAGGCGTGACCACATAAGCATCCCTCGCATGAGGGCCACATGGCTTTCGAACGGCAGGAGACATATAGACTCAACGAGGGTCATCAGGGGTGGGTTGAAATGCCGACTACGAGACTTAGGCGGTGGCCTGGGTCTTCTGAGGGCTTGCTTGAATTGCCAGGCTGATGGCACTGTGCTCGACCAGTTGCTCAGCAAGGAGCGGACACTTACCTGCTCCCTGGCGGAGAAGGCGGCTTGGTGTGGAACGCTGTGCTTGGGGCAGAAAGTTAACTTCAGGGGTGCAATGCTTGAAGGAAAGCACAAGAGCAATTGTGAGAGCCAAGCGCAATGCCAGGGATGTGCATACCTTCAAACCGGTCCATTCCCACAACGAGATGGGTGTTTAGTGGAGCATTTCCTCAATGGGTCTTCACTCAGCTAAGAAGCTCCGCTATGAATTTCCAAAAGAGGGCAACTGGATTGCGGTCAAAGGCACGCACACACAAGCACAAACATCCTTCCCTTGCCACCAGGTGCATCTCAAGAGGCATTGGGGCATGTAACCCAAGTTGTTTTCACTCCAGGTGTCCATAAATATCACTCAGTTCTTCAACCTCTCCGAGCACTTCCCCATTCTTGCCTACTTTAGTTGGTATTGTATCGGCTTGTTGTTGGGCGTTGCTGGGACCTTCTCAACGCCAGGCCGACTTTGCAGAGTTGGAGCAGCTCAAGATCCAGGCCGATCGCAGTCGAGCCACTCTGTAGGCCAAAAGCCCTAGTGGCCTGGCCTATGAGTAAAGCCAGGAGTTTCCAGACACTTTGTAGCTACCAAACCATGGTTTGCAGCCACAAGGGCGCAGATGTCCGTTGTTTGTCCCAGTTCTCCCCCCCGGCCAACTTGTGGTGGTGGGCAACCTCTTCAAAGGCGAAGCTTCAGCTTGGCTCAGAGACATCTCTTCGATTCCAACCCCTCAGATGGCTCCTTCCGAACCTTTTGTGGGGGGGGAGGATAGCGTTAGCTTCCTCCCTGCTTGAGCTTCGCTTCTATGACATTTTTGGGGAAGTGTGCCAAGGCCGTACAGAAATGTTTAAAATGAGGGACAAATGAGTCACACGAATCATCACGAATCCATACTCATACTCCGTCATACTCCCTTGCCTTCCATGATGAACTCGAGGGTCAATTGCTCCAACTCTGGCCACCTGCAGCCAGAGCACGCATGACTCTTTCTCAAAATCAGCAACCCCAAAAGGAACGCGCCACTCACTTGACCAAGCACATGCTCAAGCAACCTCATAAGGAACGCGCCAATTACCCAGTACATGCTCCTGCAACCTCAAGAGGAACCCGCCACTTGCTTGGTCAAGTAAGTGGGGCATGTACTTGGCGCTCCTTTTGGGGTTTCCTGATAGGGACTCCAGGTCGGTTTCCTTTTCGTTCCCATTACTTGCGGTGTTTGTTCAAAGCAACCATTGCCTATGCCCAGGTCGGTTGCTGTAGTCTTTGGTCCATACGTATTCGTTGCGAATGTGTTGCCTCCCAGTTTAAACATTGCCATGTGTTGGACACGGGGGTCCCCCAACCGGATGCATGGGGTACTGTTTCCACTTCTTTTTTCTGAAGAACAATCAACGAACTCAGAGGGTTTGCCAGACTGAGCCTTCCTCAGATGCACGCCCTGAGCGGTGCGGTGGCCACTTGGCTAGGCAGAGGATTGGGGGAGCGAAATGGACGTCAGCGGGGAGTCATGCAATGCGTATACAACTACTGCGTACGGTATACAAACCTATCAATTTGGAGGGGTTGGCTTTATCCAAAAACAAACAGCCGGGAATTTGATTTCAACATTTGGGACCCCAAAGGCCGCAAAGTGCTCTTTGTCCCAGGCTCTTCGGGTGCAGGCCAGCCATTGTGGGATCCTCTCCAAAGGAACTGGTTTGGGCTGGAAGAATTGCAACTTGGAGGGAAGACTGCCCATCCATTCTCATTCCATCTTGTTCCCCGGTGTGAACTGTGCATGTGTTCCTCTTTAGCACTTGTTTGATTTCGGGTTGGGACCACGGGCGGGCATCCAACACTGACAAACTGCGGATGCATTTGACTTGATTTGGCGTGCTCAAGCACCCGGAATCAATTTGAGAGGTGGCTTTGGCACTCCGAGTGTTCAAAACCATGGTCCCATTTGCCCCCACACGCCGCGAAGACAGAGATGCGGCACCAACAAGCCTCATCACAATTGCTACCCCTCCTACAAAAGAAACCAGGCAAACTTTCGAAATTTGGTCCCCACAGTTGCTCTTTCGGGCTGCTTCGAGTATCACCTTCTGCGCCACTTCAAATGGAGTGTCCTTCTGTGTGTGCGATGTTTTGTAGGCATTGGCAGGAACGCGCGAATACCCTGGATGTTCTTACAACTTGCAACTTTGTAGGGCACTTCAAGGTGGACCAGACATAATCAACCCTTTTCAGATATCTTGAGGTTTGATGCCCGCCACCTGCCCGTTTCCACTAGCAACTAGTCACTTATGCATTTTACGTGTTATTTAAGCGGATTTCTTGTGCAGCTGTGTCCAATCCCAGATGGGAATGGGTACAACTAGTGGCTCTCATCCCTTTTGCAAGTGGCAAGCCGGGCTGAGTTGAACTTTGGGGACGGTGTGTGAAACTGGAAGGCAGTGGAAACGGCATCACGCCCGAAGCAAGGGGATGGTTCAAAGCAAGCCGTGTTGACGCCGTGAAAGCCACTTGGGGCAAAACTGCGCGGTTTTCCCTGGGCCTTTGCCCTTCGGGCCATCGGGCCTTCGGGCCTTCGGGCCTTCGGGCCTTCGGGCCTTCGGGCCTTCGGGCCTTCGGCTGGGCGGAAGAATCGAGGCCCAGCACATGGAGTCCTCCACCCAGGAGTTCGGTTGACGGATGTTCTTTTTCATTTTTTTCCCATAGGGATCGTATTT